TGAGTCTTTGTTGAAGTTGTGAAATAAGTGCACAATAAAGCTTGCAGCTGCATTTCTCAGTACCTTCTCTATAGGGAATTATGTGGTAGCAGTTTATTTTTTATATTAAAAAAATATGGTCATTGTATTTACCTTGTATTTATTATAAATGTATTATTTCTGGTACTTACTTAATTCAACACAATTAGGATAGTAACTATAATACCTGGTACCAAATGGTTATTATTGTGTATTATAATTTATCATGTCTAAATACTTGGTAATGTATGTACGGTAAAATTAAGTACTACCAATAATGTTTTTTCAACTTGCCTTCTGTGTTCATTGAGCTAGTATTTGACTGTGTGCATTTTATGTGCCAGCAGTAACTACTAACATGTATACAGTAGTTTACTTAAATTGTTTGTTTAAAATTGTAATGGAGATGAGATAACATATTCTCTGAAATATGTTATCTTAATCACCCTGCATGCATAAGCTCTTGTGTCTCTAGCCAACTGTATATCTTGCTTTCACACCACCATTAAAACACGTTCAAATCAATGTGTGGTGTCTAAATGTTTTATGAAGGAAACAATGTGAGACATCAATCAGAATCAAACAGCAAAATATGATATGCTTATATACTTTTAGTATGGCAGCAAATTCTCAGAAAGTAGAGAGAAAAAAGAAAGGTCAAGAGTGAAGTGTGACAAAGGGCCCATAGCTCAACCTGAGGAACAATGTTGTAAAGTGGAGGTTGTTGTCAATGGCTGTCACGCCCTGATCGAGAGAACTCTTGTTGGTTGGGTCAGGGTGTGAGTTTCTGTTGAATTCTATGTTATTGTATTTCTAGGTTGTAGATCTAGGTTGAAATGTATATGTTTGGCCGGGTGTGATTCCCAATCAGAGGCACCTGTCGCTCGTTGTCTCTGATTGGGATCATACTTAGGTAGCCTGGTTGCCTACCTTAGTTGTGGGATCTTGACTCGCGTTTGGCTTGTTGTGTTGGAGCCACTGTTTGAGCTTCACGTTTCGTTGTTTTGTCAAGTGTTTATTCGTATTAATAAACATGTACGCATACCACGCTGCACCTTGGTCTGACCCGTCTCTCAACGATCGTGACAATGGCCAATCACAGACCACAACCAACATACCGCCATCTCATAAAACCCCAGTAGCAACAACATAGTTTCAGGAAAGCAACTGTGTTAGTTCAGACAGAAGCAATTTCCCTTAGTGTATCTTGAGGTAACCAATATAAAAAATATTGATCTACTCCCACAGCAGAAAACATAATAATAAATCACAAAAAATGAAAAAATGCACTTAAAGTAAGAAAGGGTCCTGATAAAGGTAAGAAAAAGTGTTCTTGATAAACTTGTGTCAGCTATCCAACCGGAGGGGCAAGAGGCTATGGTTACTCAATGAGCTGGAGATCTCATACAGTAGGTCAAGGACGTGAATAGGTTACAATGGGTAAAACATGATGGGTTGCAGAAAGAGTGAAGGTAATTTTTTTCCATCTTTATAATACAAGCCTTCTTGGTCAACATCCTTAGATGTGTTTTAAATTATCTGTAAACTGGTGGGTGACATGATCAGTTTGAATATGTCCAATATGGTTAAGATTGGGGGGTTCTAGGCACTGCATCGCAGTGCTAATGTGCCACTAGAGATCCTGAGTTCGAATCCAGCTCTGTCGAAGCCGGCCGCGACCGGGAGACTCATGGGCGGCGCACAATTGGCCCAGTGCGTCCAGGAGTAGGGAGGGAATGGCCGGCAGGCAGGATTTAGCTCAGTTGATAGAGATGGCGTTTGCAACGCCAGGGTTGTGGGTTCAATTCCCACGGGGGCCAGTATAAAAAAATATGTATTCACTAACTGTAAGTCGCTTGGATAAGAGCGTCTCTACTAAACAGTAAATGTAAATGTAAAATTTGCTCAGTGTAACTGGATGAAGGTTGTGGATAAATCGGGGCCAATAAAATTGCATGCGATCACACTAACAGTCGCGTGAAGTCTACAACCAATAGCAGCAACGTCATTCTTTATGTCTCACAGAATTGGCGATGCACAGATACTGTAAGTTGTTCCCTGTTTTATGGCAACACATAGGCCTACTAAGTGTCAGTTTCGCATCATCTCATGGAGATGCAAGAGACGTCATACAACACAAGATGGTGCCATGCCACCCTTTACTGAATGAAGTATGCATAATGATGAGTCCCTTTTCAAAATAGGCAGAGTACAGTTTTTTACATAGGAAGTAGGGAAAGTAAGGGGTGCTGAGGGTGCTGCAGCACCCCCTGATAAATCGAAATTAAACAAATCTATATTAAAACATAAACATATATTTTAGCAATTTTTTTCTCCACTAAATTAGAGAACTAGGCCTGTCATTACTCCTGTATGAGTGGATAGAAAACCTCATTTTGTGACATTTGACAATTGCCAAAAGTTCCAGTCGTTTTTACCTCGCCCCCAGAGGTTACACATGGGTCATCTACACACTGTACGGGAAACTACATTGGAGTGTGTGTGTTCTTCTTATTAGGCTACCCGATTAGATTTTTTTAAAGCTAGATTGTCAGTCTTATACAGATAAACTGTAGTTGGATAAAAAATTATAATGATGACCCTCAGAAGTATAAGAAACTAATACAGAATTCCAATTCATCCCAAAGGTGTTCTTTGGGGTTGAGGTCAGGGCTCTGTGCAGGCCAGTCAAGTTCTTCCACACTGATCTTGACAAACCATTTCTGCATGGACCTCGCTTTGTGCAAGGGGGCATTGTCATGCTGAAACAGGAAAGGGCCTTCCCTAAACTGTTGCCACAAAGTTGGAAGCACAGAATTCTCTAGAATGTCATTGTATGCTGTAGTGTTAAGATTTACCTTAACTGGAACTAAGGGGCCTAGCCCGAACCATGAACAACAGCCCCAGACCATTATTCCTCCTCCATCAAACTTTACAGTTGGAGCTATGCATTGTGGCAGGTAGCGTTCTCCTGGCATCCGCCATACCCAGATTTTTCCGTCGGACTGCCAGATGGTGAAGTGTGATTCATCTCTCCAGAGAACGCGTTTCCACTGCTCCAGAGTCCAATGTCGGCAAGCTTTACACCACTCCAGCCGACACTTGGCATTGCGCATGGTGATCTTAGGCTAGTGTGCGGCTGCTCGGCCATGGAAACCCATTTATTGTGCTGACTTTGCTTCCAGAGGCAGTTTGGAACTCGGTAGGGAGTGTTGCAACTGAGGACAGATTATTTTTACGCGCTACCTGCTTCAGCACATGCCGGTCCCGTTCTGTGAGCTTGTGTGGCCTACCACTTCGTGGCTGAGCCGTTGTCGCTCCTCGACGTTTCCACTTCATAATAACAGCACTTACAGTTCACTGGGGCAGCTCTAGCAGGGCAGAAATTTGACGAACTGACTTGTTGGAAAGGTGTCATCCTATGACGGTGCCACGTTGAAAGTCACTGATCTCTTCAGTACAGGCCATTCTGCTTCAATGTTTGTCTATGAAGATTGCATGGATTTGTGCTCGATTTTATACACCTGTCAGCAACGGGTGTGCTGAAATAGCCGAATCCACTAATTTGAAGGGGTGTCCTCATACTTTTCACCATGTAGTGTAACTTTATGTAACATGGAATTGTGTTGATTTCATATCATGACCATCATCAAAACCCAGACTTTCACGATTTCGACTTTGTCTTCAATGTAATCTCTAGTGGACAGATTCTTGTGGACAGATGAAACAGCGAGAATCTGTCAAGGCTCACGCAGAATTATGTGATTACGAGCAGCAGTAGTTCCTGGTTTTGGATTTTCGTCATTGATTATTTGGTCGAATCAGGATTGGGCGAAGGCGGTGCTTAAACTGGTGTGGTGATTTTCAAGTCGTGTGTGGATGATAAATGGTTTCCACTATATTCCACAGCCACATAGTCAAAATTGACTATATCGTAAAAATGTATGAATATATCCCTTTTGGCCATGATAAACACGGATGAAATTAGCGGAACGGCTCCCGCCTGCCAAACACCTGCCCTCACCGGGGTCGAAGGACACTGTCCACTGTTGTCGCCTATCATCTACCGCTAGCTACTCCGGTACACAGCAGGCGGGAGGCGGGGATGACATTGTGTGCTAGCGACACCGTGTGTTAGCTATCTTGCTAATTAGCTAGCTAGCACACAGTGTCGCCCCCGCCTCCCGCCTGCTGTGTAACGGAGTCCTCCTTAGGACTAGCTGGCTAAGCTAGCACACAGTGTCCTTCGCTCCCGCCTGCCGAACACCTGCCCTCGCCGTCGTTAACAGAACAGGGGCAAAGGACACTTCACCAGTGTGTACTAGCTATAGCTAGCTACCGTTGTCGCCCCCGGCTCTTCTTCTGTGGGGTTTATCTGGGGTTGGCATCCAACGTTATGTTGCATTATTGCCATCTATTGAAATGGAGCGCCCCTGCCTATGTACTGCAGTAAAAGCTTAAAAATGGACCAATAGAAGTATAAAGAGGGGTTCCTGCAGATGCAGGAATGCCCACATGCAAGAACGCCCTGAATTGCGGGCTGCAGTTGCACCCTTCTCGAGACTCTGCTTTGCTGTAGGTGAGGATGTTCATGATAAAAGTTGCATGACGTCAAGGACCAGTTAAGCAACTAAAACGCCCTGCACATATCGTTCCTTTCACCACGGTTTGCAGCCGCAAAGGGATTTTTGCTAATGTGCATCTAAGGTAAGATTTCAACCATTATGGCACTTTTAACAAATTTCAGGTCACGATTTCTTGAAGCAGATGTCCCAATTTCTGCTTTATTCCAATGGCACATATGCGATTTATTTGAGTCTACTCCAATCTGTATCATTGTCTGAAATATATATGCGTAATTTGCCATTAGGCTTCTTATACTAAAGTACATTTTAGGACTGTCACTCTCTGGTGTCCATAACGTTTGTTATTTTCCCCCCAGAGCAAATATTTTTTCGCTCGCTCCTTTGTGGACTCAAAAAATGGGAAGATTAGACACTCTGAGAGAATTTAATTTATTGTCATGGATGAGAGAGGAAAGACAATCGAGGAAGTTGACCCTGGTCATCGTTTTCATCGCCTTGCTGCTGGATAATATGCTTCTAACGGTGGTCGGTAGGTGCAACTTTGGAAAAATTATTTTCACACCTGTTACTGTTGTGTCAACCGTTGTTTCACCAATTGAAACGTATCAATGCCTTTCTAAAGGCCAATTCGAGTCTGTTGCTTGCCTAAATAATTGACAGATATTCTTTTGAATCATGCAATGTTTTGTTATTTCCCTTGTAAGAAGGTTGTATTCTCCTTTTTGTTTAGAGTAGTTCAATTATAATTTTTGGTGTGGAACAAAAGTTATTCCGTCCTGGCTATTGCTTTCCCCCAAAAATATAAAGAAAAATAAGGCTAGTCTAAAGCCTATGATTTGCTCATAATTTTACCTTGCCTGAAGCTTTGTAATTATATACGAAATTAGACACTAGCTCCTTCAGTTGTTAAATTTAATTCAAATAAGATACACATTGGTTTTCATCTGATATCCAATATTAGATAGCACAATGAGTAAGAATGACAGCCTGGTCTCATAGACTAGACGTAACATAGTAAATGTAAATCATGGCCACTAAAATTAGTATGATATGTTAGGTTTGGTATGGTTACATAAAACAGAAGGTTAAGTAAGGCAAAAACGAAAGTATGGTGGGTAAGCGTATAACGCGAATGTCGAGCAACCCAAAGGTTGCGTGTTTGAATCTCATCACGGACAACTAGCATTTTAACTAATTAGCAACTTTGCAACTACTTACTACTTTTGAGCTACTTTGCAACTACTTAACATGTTAGTGTTAGCCACCTAGCTAACATTAGCCACAACAAATTGCAATTCATAACATATCATACGAAATGGATGATGGACATCCACAAATGAATACATACCAATACCAAATGTAACATATCAGACTAATTGGGGTGTCTGGATGTACATTTACTATGTTACGTCTACCCCTGAGTCCAGGCTGAGAATGAATGCATAAAATATGTCATAAATCAAACAGATTGTGAATTAAAATGTAAAAATACCCATAATAACATATTAGTAAGCGGCCTATGTGCTACAATGTTGTTCCCTAAACATTTCATCTGTCCATTATTCATTTTATCAGATTGTGTCAAGTGGTTTAACACCTTAGGCATTTTCAAAAGCTGTATGTAGCCTATAGTGTAAAGCTTCACAGGGAGATTAATTGTTAATAATTGGTCATCATTTATATATCCTTTCACGTGGCAAGTGAAGAGTAATTAGTAAATGAAAACTATGGTGGACCGGGATGGTGGACCCGCTACAGATTATTTGGGCAGGGAATTCATCCATCTGTATATTTTTGGTCCCAAGGTCCCCAGCTCACTTGATTTCCTTGAAAGCATCAGCACTGCCATTACCAATGAATCTCCCAGTCGTATCAGATAGATTATAGATGACATTGATGTGCACACGAATGCTGTTATTTTGCGCGATATTGTGCCGTTAGCGCTGGACACGTCTCCCGGACATGTCCCTTGAGCACTGGATACAGATGCGCATTGGAAGAATGTCCGAATGTCAGTCAGAAATGACTCTAGAGTAGCTGTACAGTGCCTTGCAGAAGTATTCACCCCCCTTTGTGTTCTTCCTATTTTGTTGCATTACAACCTGTAATTTAAATTGATTTTTATTTGGATTTCATGTAATGGACATACACAAAATAGTCCACATTTCAAAAAATTCTAAAAAATGAATAATGGAAAAGTGGTGCGTGCATATGTATTCACCCCCTTTGCTATGAAGCCCCTAAATGAGATCTGGTGCAACCAATTACCTTCAGAAGTAACATAATTAGTTAAATAAAGTCCACCTGTGTGCAATCTAAGTATCACATGATCTGTCACATGATCTCAGTATATATAAACCTGTTCTGAAAGGCCCCAGAGTCTGCAACACCACTAAGCAAGGGGCACCACCAAGCAAGCGGCACCATGAAGACCAAGGAGCTCTCCAAACTGGTCAGGGACAAAGTTGTGGAGAAGTACAGATCAGGGTTGGGTTATAAAAAAATATCAGAAACTTTGAACATCCCACGGAGCACCATTAAATCCATTATTAAAAAATTTAAAGAATATGGCACCACAATAAACCAGAGAGGGCCGCCCACCAAAACTCACGGACCAGGCAAGGAGGGCATTAGTCAGAGAGGCAACAAATACACCAAAGATAACCCTGAAGGAGCTGCAAAGTTCCACAGCAGAGATTGGAGTATCTATCCATAGGACCACTTTAAGCCGTACACTCCACAGAGCTGGGCTTTACGGAAGAGTGGCCAGAAAAAAGACATTGCTTAAAGAAAAAAATAAGCAAACACGTTTGGTGTTCACCAAAAGGCATGTGGGAGACTCCCCAAACATATGGAAGAAGGTTCTCTGGTCAGATGAGACTAAAACTGAGCTTTTTGGCCATCAAGGAAAACGTTATGTCTGGCGCAAACCCAACACCTCTCATCACCCCGAGAACACCATCCCCACAGTGAAGCATGGTGGTGGCAGCATCATGCTGTGGGGATGTTCTTCATCAGCAGAGACTGGGAAACTGGTCAGAATTGAAGGAATGATGGATGGCGCTAAATACAGGGAATTTTTTTAGGGAAACCTGTTTCAGTCTTCCAGAGATTTGAGACTGGGACGGAGGTTCACCTTTCAGCAGGACAATGACCCTAAGCATACTGCTAACGCAACACTCAAGCGGTTTAAGGGGAAACATTTAAATGTCTTGGAATGGCCTAGTCAAAGCCCAGACCTCAATCCAATTGAGAATCTGTGGTATGACTTAAAGATTGCTGTACACCAGCAGACCCCATCCAACTTGAAGGATCTGGAGCAGTTTTGCCTTGAAGAACGGGCAAAAATCCCAGTGGCTATATGTGCCAACCTTATAGAGACATACCCCAAGAGACCTGCAGCTGTAATTGCTGCAAAAGGTGGCTGTACAAAGTATTGATTTGGGGGGGGTGAATAGTTATGTACGCTCAAGTTTTCTGTTTTTCTGTCTTATTTCTTGTTTGTTTCACAATAAAACATATTTTTAATCTTCAAAGTGGTAGGCATTTGTTTAAATCAAATGATACAAACCCCCAAAAAATCAATTTTAATTCCAGGTTGTAAGGCAACAAAATAGGACAAATGCCAAGGGGGGTGAATACTTTCGCAAGCCACTGTATATGCCTATACGTGATTGGAGGCAAATCTATAAACAGCAAGGGTATGAATAACAATTAATATGATAAAAACATAATAACAATAATATGAAAATAATAAGCTAAAACCATCTTCATGGGGCCAATTATTGTGTTATCTGCCACATTTATAGCTAAATTAGTTAAATATATTCTTATCCTTTGAAACAAATGTAGTGTGTGTGCTAATGTCCTACATTTACATTTTAGTCATTTAGCAGACGCTCTTATCCAGAGCGACTTACAGTTAGTGAATAGATTTTTTTTTTTTTTTTTTTTTTTATACTGGCCCCCCGTGGGAATCGAACCCACAACCCTGGCATTGCAAACACCATGCTCTATCAACTGAGCTACATCCCTGCCGGCCATTCCCTCCCCTACCCTGGACGACGCTGGGCAAATTGTGCGCCGCCCCATGGGTCTCCCGGTCGCGGCCGGCTACGACAGAGCCTGGATTCGAACCAGGATCTCTAGTGGCACAGCTAGCACTGCGATGCAGTGCCTTAGACCACTGCGCCACTCGGGAGTCCTACCTGCTACACAAATCAAATAAAAGGAAATACATTTGTAATTATATTCCACACAGATTTCTTTGGATGATGATGTATATCAGAATATACTATAGTAGACATAAAACTTTTCACCATCTGTTTTTCTGCTCCTTTCTTCCTGGTAGTCCCCATCATCCCCAGCTACCTATACACAATTGATGATGCAGCAGCCAACATGGCCAAGAATCACACCATGGTCTCCCCACACACCCCTTCTGGAACCTTCCAGACCATTGTGTCCCTCTATGACAACTCTGTCAGGGTAACCAGCGGGGGCCCAATGGATTCCACACCCATACCCTTGGGTCAGACGCAGGCGGTCTCTCCTTCCACCTCGGCTCTCACACCCCACAACTCCACACAGCCTGACTGCCCCAAAGCAGATGACCAGCTGCTCAATGAGAATGTGAAAGTGGGGCTACTCTTTGCCTCCAAGGCCACCGTACAGCTCATCACCAACCCCTTTATTGGGCCTCTCACCAACAGGTGGGTGAATGACATGATCACACTGGTTGGTGTGTTTTCTGTTGCTCTTTTTCAAATGTCTTATATTATTTAAATGAAATGCCAGCTGTGAACTGGTTTGCATGGCAACTAGCTTAGAAGTTGGGAGGCTTGAGATACTGTATATTCATATAATTGAGGTTTCGTAAGACCTGTCTATTTATGTTGCCCTTGTTTATGAAGAGTTTTAGCATTTAAAATTATTCCCTGGTTGCACAATTTTTTAAATTATGGTTATAAAGTGGTTGTTTGAAATCAAATCAAATCAAATGTTATTTGCCACATGCGCCGAATACAACAGGTGTAGTAGACCTTACAGTGAAATGCTTACTTACAAGCCCTTAACCAACAATGCAGTTTTAAGAAAAAAAGTGTTAAATAAAAAATAGATACAGTGAGGGAAAAAAGTATTTGATCCCCTGCTGATTTTGTACGTTTGCCCACTGACAAAGACATGATCAGTCTATAATTTTAATGGTAGGTTTATTTGAACAGTGAGAGACAGAATAACAACAAAATAATCCAGAAAAACGCATGTCAAAAATGTTATAAATTGATTTGCATTTTAATGAGGGAAATAAGTATTTGACCCCTCTGCAAAACATGACTTAGTACTTGGTGGCAAAACCCTTGTTGGCAATCACAGAGGTCAGAAGTTTCTTGTAGTTGGCCACCAGGTTTGCACACATCTCAGGAGGGATTTTGTTCCACTCCTCTTTGCAGATCTTCTCCAAGTCATTAAGGTTTTGAGGCTGACGTTTGGCAACTCGAACCTTCAGCTCCCTCCACAGAATTTCTATGGGATTAAGGTCTGGAGACTGGCTAGGCCACTCCAGGACCTTAATGTGCTTCTTCTTGAGCCACTCCTTTGTTGCCTTGGCCGTGTGTTTTGGGTCATTGTCATGCTGGAATACCCATCCACGACCCATTTTCAATGCCCTGGCTGAGGGAAGGAGGTTCTCACCCAAGATTTGACGGTACATGGCCCCGTCCATCGTCCCTTTGATGCGGTGAAGTTGTCCTGTCCCCTTAGCAGAAAAACACCCCCAAAGCATAATGTTTCCACCTCCATGTTTGACGGTGGGGATGGTGTTCTTGGGGTCATAGGCAGCGTTCCTCCTCCTCCAAACACAGCAAGTTGAGTTGATGCCAAAGAGCTCGATTTTGGTCTCATCTGACCACAACACTTTCACCCAGTTCTCCTCTGAATCATTCAGATGTTCATTGGTAAACTTCAGACGGCCCTGTATATGTGCTTTCTTGAGCAGGGGGACCTTGCGGGCGCTGCAGGATTTCAGTCCTTCATGGCGTAGTGTGTTACCAATTGTTTTCTTGGTGACTATGGTCCCAGCTGCCTTGAGATCATTGACAAGATCCTCCCGTGTAGTTCTGGGCTGATTCCTCACCGTTCTCATGATCATTGCAACTCCACGAGGTGAGATCTTGCATGGAGCCCCAGGCCGAGGGAGATTGACTGTTCTTTTGTGTTTCTTCCATTTGCGAATAATCGCACCAACTGTTGTCACCTTCTCACCAAGCTGCTTGGCGATGGTCTTGTAGCCAATTCCAGCCTTGTGTAGATCTACAATCTTGTCCCTGACATCCTTGGAGAGCTCTTTGGTCTTGGCCATGGTGGAGAGTTTGGAATCTGATTGATTGATTGCTTCTGTGGACAGGTGTCTTTGATACAGGTAACAAGCTGAGATTAGGAGCACAGCGTGTGTTGTTACCTACCCTTACCACCTGGGGGCGGCCCGTCAGGAAGTCCAGGATCCAGTTGCAGATGGAGGTGTTTAGTCCCAGGGTCCTTAGCTTAGTGATGAGCTTTGAGGGCACTATGGTGTTGAACGCTGAGCTGTAGTCAATGAATAGCATTCTCACGTAGGTGTTCCTCTTGTCCAGGTGGGACAGGGCAGTGTGGAGTGCAATATAGATTGCATTATCTGTGTATCTTTTGGGGCGGTATGCAAATTGTAGTGGGTCTAGGGTTTCTGGGATAATGGTGTTGATGTGAGCCATGACCAGCCTTTCAAAGCACTTCATGGCTACAGACGTGAGTGCTACGGGTCGGTAGTCATTTAGGCAGGTTATCTTAGTGTTCTTGGGCACAGGGACTATGGTGGGCTGCTTGAAACATGTTGGTATTACAGACTCGTCTATTTGCGCCTCTACCGGATGGAAACTACAAGTGTAACGGCTGCGCTCAATGCAATGGCACTTACAAATGTAGATCCTTTAAACACCCCCAAACAGGGAAACAGATCCCAATCAAAGGTGTTATTACGTGCTCCACTAAGGCAGTTATTTATCTTATAACTTGTCCTTGTGGTAAAAATGATGTGGGTAAAACAAAGCACAAATTAAAAGTACGAATCTCGGAGCATCGTAGCACCATTAGGTGCAAAAACTCGACATACCCATTCGCTGTCCACTTCTTGGAAGCGAACCATTCGATTTCGTCCCTACGTTATATAGGCATCGAACATGTCACCCTCCCTAGGAGAGGGGGTGACCTCGACAACTTATTGTTAAAACGAGAGGCTGCCTGGATCTTTAATTTAAAGACCCTTGCTCTCTTCGGTCTCAACGTACACTTTGATTTGAAGCCATTCTTGTGATTATTGTGATTTTGCTATTCATTGTAAATGTTTGTGGGCCTATGTAGCCAAGTTGTATCTATTTTATGATCGTATGCTATCCATGTTTTTTGTATGTTCTGTTTATCTGTGAATTAACCAACGCTATTAGGCCACACCTGGCCATGATTACAGACACCTGCGTGTGTCCTTTGACATTATATAAACTACTGACCCGCAGTGTTTGTCATTATACCCTGATGAAGACAGCTTGTCTGTCGAAACGTTGGTTATTAGGATATTAAATGATTGCATCTGAGCTCCAAGAGTGTGCGGCTTTCCTTTTCTTTTTCAAGTGTTTTACTCCGTTAGCCAGTACCTCGCCTAAATAGGTGTGCGTTTCTTTCGCCTCTGTATTACAGACTCAGTCAGGGACATGTTGAAAATGTCAGTGAAGACACTTGCCAGTTGATCAGCGTATGCTCGGAGTACACGTTCTGGTAATCCGTCTGGCCCTGCGGCCTTGTGAATTTTGACCTGCTTAAAAGTCTTACTCACATCGGCTACGGAGAGCGTGATCACATAGTCATCCGGAACAGCTGATGCTCTCATGCATGCTTCAGTGTTGCTTGCCTCGAAGCGAGCATAGAAGTGATTTAGCTCGTCTGGTAAGCTCTTGTCACTGGGCAGCTCGCGGCTGTGCTTCCCTTTGTAGTCTGTAATAGTTTGCAAGCCCTGCCACATCCGACGAGCGTCGGAGCCGGTGTAGTACGATTCAATCTTAGCCCTGTTTGATGGTTTGTCGGAGGGCATAGCAGGATTTCTTATAAGCGTCCGGGTTAGAGTCCCGCTCCTTGAAAGCGGCAGCTCTACCCTTTAGCTCAGTGCGGATGTTGCCTGTAATCCATGGCTTCTGGATGGGGTATGTACGTACGGTCACTTTGGGGACAACGTCATCGATGCACTTATTGATGAAGCCAGTGACTGATGTGGTGTACTCCTCAATGCCATCGGAAGAATCCCGGAACATATTCCAGTCTGTGCTAGCAAAACAGTCCTGTAGCTTAGCATCTGCGCCATCTGACCACTTCCTTATTAACCGAGTCACTGGTGCTTCCTGCTTTAGTTTTTGCTTATAAGCAGGAATCAGGATGATAGAATTATGGTCAGATTTGCCAAATGGAGGGCGAGGGAGAGCTTTGTACGTGTCTCTGTGTGTGGAGTAAAGGTGGTCTAGAGTTTTTTTTCCTCTGGATGCACATTTAACATGCTGGTAGAAATGAGGTAGAACGGATTTAAGTTTCCCCGGATGAGCGTTTTCCTGTTTGCTTATGGCCTTATACAGCTCATTGAGTGCAATCTTAGTGCCAGCATCGGTTTGTGGTGGTAAATAGACAGCTACGAAAAATATAGAAGAAAACTCTCTTGTTAAATAGTGTGGTCTACAGCTTATCATGAGATAATCTACCTCCGGCGAGCAAAACCTTGAGACTTCCTTAGTATTAGGTTTTATCCACCAGCTGTTGTTTACAAATATACACAGACCGCCACCTCTTGTCTTACCGGAGTCAGCCGTTCTATCCTGCCGATGTAGCGTATATCCCGCTAGCTGTATGTTATCCATGTCATTACCATTTTTTTAAATTCCTGTTGGTAGGATATCCTTGATCTTAGGTCGTCCATTTTGTTTTCAAATGATTGTACGTTGGCTAATAGGATTGATGGAAGAGGCAGATTACTCGCTCGCCATAGGATCCTTACAAGGCACCCCGACCTACGTCCACGATATCTCCGTCTCTTTCTCATGCGAATAAGGCAGATTTGGGCCTTGTCGGGTGTCTGTAGAATATCATTCGCGTCCGACTCGTTGAAGAAAAAATCTTCATCCAATACGAGGTGAGTAATCGCTGTCCTGATATCCAGAAGCTCTTTTTGGTCATAAGAGACAGTGGCAGAAACATTATGAACAGAATAAATTACAAATAACGCGAAAAAACACAATTGGTTAGAGGGCCGTAAAACAGCAGCCATCTCATCTCCTCCGGCGCCATTACACGTTTCATACAGTTATGACTTGATTTAAGTAATAATTAAGAGAAGTCGTTTTGAATGACACTAAAATGAGATGACAGCAGGCATGCAGGTTATGCCAGTGTGTATCTTCAGAGTTCAGTGTGTAGCCACATGCAGTGTGGGTGCCTGCCAGGTCACAGTGGCTTCCTGCTAGCCCAGAGCTAAATGGTGACTCAGCTTGGCCTGCGTTTGGGTAATCAGTCAAAGGTCAATGGAGAGAAAGACCAGTAACAGACTATTTTCAAGTGACAGGGAGGAAAATCAAATGCTGACATTTGTATATTGCTATTTTGAGACCAAATGTCATGTCAGTTAGATCTAATCTATAGCTGAATTCCTGTTTAGATGTTTGTGTTGGATTTATTTGTCTGCATGCATGCATTCAGTATGGATCCCTGCTTGTAGTGCTTTACAAGCAATTATAGTTATTGTTTTGAACTACTTACTGTGTTCTGAAATTACTCAATATTGATTATACTATGGATCAATACTTTTGTAGACATATCTGTATGTTAGCGCACATATTCGGAAAGACCAATTTGTCAGAGATATGACTGGCTCCCACGCAGTGCTCACTGCTCAGTATTGACAAATGCATCAAGGCTAGTATTTACCGTCTCAGCTGGGCACCACAATATGCTGTAATTGAAGCAAACTATAGAATCCTATTATGTACACTTAGTCACCTTCCGTGTGGGAAAGGACAACACAAGGCAAGTCATGCATGTTAGGTACATGGAACAAGCCTCTCAGTACACACAATGCATTGTGATACAACAGAGTTTTTCTGCACAAAAATATTTACAAAAGCATTGACAATGCACAATGGTTGTGTAATTTTTGTGCAGACCAACTCCCAGATGTGTATCACCCAAATATCAGTTGTATCACAACCATTGTGTCAAATGCATTGTACATCAGTTGTACAACCTGAGTTTGTACGAGGCCAAAGAGAGTTTCTGCCCAACTTCTGCTACTTGACTGCCTAATGTTAGATGAGCTGTAGTTATCTGTGTCTTGTTTTATATAGTATTGCATTACATTGTATAGTATTGAGAAAGGATGTCTCAATGTGCTTACAGAATAGGATACCAGATCCCCATGTTTGCTGGGTTCTGTATTATGTTCCTGTCAACCATTAGTAAGTATTACCCACATCCACACCTGTCACATCCACACCTGTTTCCAGATCTCACACTGTGTTTCAATTATATTTTTTCATGATTGATGTTTTCTTTTGTTTTTTTGTCTAAATTTCTATTGTCGTTGTTGTCAAGTGTTCGCCTTCTCATCGAGCTACACTCTGCTGTTTCTGGCCAGATCCCTGCAGGGTGTTGGCTCCTCCTGCTCCTCCGTGGCTGGTAAGGTCCTTGGCATTATCCTGACATTTATGGATGCTTTCAGGATTAGCTTCACTTTGAGACAGCTGCAGCCAGCACATTCAGTTTCACCAGAAACTTCACCTTTTTCTTACAGTAGGCCTACCTTGGTATGCATCTTTATGTCTCTCGAGTTGAACAATGAGGCATTTATTATACACAGCTCTAGTTGACTTATTGAAAGGTGCTGTGGTAAGAGGAACAACAAATACTCCTAATATAACGCTGGTAAGTGTCTATTCAAACAGTCACAGAGGTTTTGTTTTCTTCAAGCAGCCCTGGGATAAATGAAGAGCAGTGTTTCAAGAACTGTAATAATAATAATAATAATAATAAATGTAGTGTGCTATAAAGAAATACAGTGCCTTGCAAAAGTATTCAGATTGACATTTTATTATGTTACAAAGTGGAATTAAAATTGGTGTAATTGTCTTTTTTTCTGTCAACAATATACACAAAATACTCTGTAATGTCAAAGTGGAAGAATTAAAGATTAATACAAAATTGTAATAAATAATTAAAAGTCGTTGCATAACTATTCAGCCCCTTTGTTTAGGCAAGCCTAAATTAGTTCAGGAGTAAAATTTGGCTTAACAAATCACATAAAAAGTTACATGGACTCACTATAATAGGGGTTGACATGATCTTTAAATGACTAACCCTTCCTCTGTCCCCCATACATACATCTGTAAGGTCCCTCAGTCAAGTATTGAATTTCAAGCACAGATTCAACAACAAAGACCAGGGAGCTTTTCAAGCTTTTCGAAAGCCTCATAAAAAAGGGCAGTGATTGGTTAATGGGTAACAATAACAAATCAGTCATTAAATACCTTTAAGCATGGTCTAGTTAATAATTATGCTGTGCATTATGTATTAAACCACACAGACAGGTGAACTGAGCTGCAGGACAGGAATGAAACTGCTCCATGAGGCCATTGGTGATTTTAAAACAGCTACAGAGTTCAATGGCTGTGATGGGAGAGAACTGAGGATAGATCAACAAACATTGTAGTGACTCCACAATAATGACCTAAATGACAGAGTGAAAAGAAGAACACAAATATACAAAACATGCATCTTGTATACAACAAGGCACTACAGTAATACTGCAAGAAAAACATGGCAAAGGAATACACTTTTTTGCCTAAATGCAAACCCTATGTCTGGGGCAAATCCAACACAACACATCACTGAGTAACTGCCTCCTTATTTTCAAGCATGGTGGTGGCTGCATCATGTTATGGGTATGCTTGACATCGGCAAATACTGGGGAGTTTTTCAGGATAAAAAAAAAACGGGATAGGGCTAACCACAGGCAAAATCCTAGAGAGAAACATGCTTATTCACATTTCAACACAAGGCCAAATCTACACTGGAGTTGCTTACCAAGAAGACAGTGAATGTTCCTAAGTGGCCAAGTTACAGTTTTGACTTAAATCTGCTTGAAATACTATGGCAAGACTTGAAAATTGCCATGATCCCCAACATCTTGACAGAGCTTGAAGAATTGAGAAAATAATAATAGGCAAATATTGCACAATCCAGCTGTGCAAAGCTCTTAGAGACTTACCCAAGAAGACTCACAGCTGTAATTGCTGCCAAAGGTGTTTCTAACATGTATGGACTCAGGGAGCTGAATACTTATGCAACGACTATATTTTATTTATTTCATTTTTATTAATGTTTTAAACATTTTATCATTTTTCTTCCACATTGACATTAGAGTATTTTGTGTAGATTGTTGACAAAAAATGACAATTAAATCCATTTTAATCCTACTTTGTAACACAATATAATGTGAAGAAATACAAGGGGTCTGAATACTTTAGCAAGGCACTGTATATCACCCTGACTGCTTTAACCAAACATATCGATTTAGCCTAGTCAAATGTACTTATGTATATAAGAGCTTACATGTTCTGTTCTTCTAGGGATGGGGATGCTTGCCAGTGTGTACACAGATGACGAGGAGAGGGGAAATGCCATTGGGATAGCCCTGGGTGGTCTCGCCATGGGTGTGCTGGGTATGTACACAATTCATGACGCATTTGAGCTCTTTGTAGACTACTGTAACAGGCCATGGTTGGCCCAAATCATTGACCATCTTTACTTTCTTCCACCCAGTGGGCCCACCATTCGGCAGTGTCATGTATGAGTTTGTGGGGAAAACGGCACCTTTCCTCATTCTGGCTGTTCTGGCTGTGCTGGATGGAGGTAAGTAATGTGGCCATGTTTCTCTCTATCATAAAGCAGATATTCTGTTTTCTCTAATCAGGAGTCACCTGTTAGGGATGCTAACTAAGTTCATCCTCTGTGTCTCCCAACAGCACTGCAACTGTTCATTCTCCAGCCCTCAAAGGTGGAACCAGAGGTGTGTATCGTTATAGATTTTACAGCTCTTTTTAAGATTATTGATGTAAATTCATTGGAATTGTGTAGGAATGTGTTCACAATCACCAGATCACTGTGATATGAAAGTGGGGATCAATAGAGTATTATAAGTGATTTGATTGGGATTGATTGGATTCATACAGCATCTTTCCAGATGCTTAAAGTGCTTTACACTGTTTAGGGTAAACAAAATAGTGCACTGGCCATTAAAAGTAATTTAACACAGAATAAATATACTTTTCTCTGTCAGAACTCTTCTGCCATGCACACAGATAAGCAGAGAAATAAACTTCAGCCGCTCACAGTGACAGCCATGAGTGATGATATGTTTGGAAGTGACTTCCAGCCAGGTTTTTATATCAGAGCGGCAGCCCGGTCTGTGTTCTGTGTAGGTCTCTGGTATGATGGGTTACCATCCCAGTTAGAGGAGACGTGTGCCTGGGATGGATATTCCTATCACAGCCCCTCTGAATTTGATCTATGGGGCTGATGTGTATCAGTCACCACGGATACCAAGGAGGCAGCGACAGAGACCCAATCAGATGGTGGCTGTGATTATCAGACCAATGACGCTTAGACATTGTTTAGTTGTGAATGAAGAATATTAAAAAGGGAAAAAGGGAATGGGACATGACAATCCTCACTATTAGTACATCTCTGTGGCTGAGATTTCTAACAGTGATGTGAATACATGATCATTAAGCTTAGAGATGGTGTCAGAGTAACTGACAAGAGGTTATTGTCAGAGCTGTGCCAGTCATTAGTGAACTCAATGGCTATGTGTGGACATTTCCTATTCATTACTGTAAGAGCAGGGACCATCAGAATAGAGAGGAAAAGTGGTCTTTCAGTGTGCACAAATACTGTGCATACTGAAAGCACAGATAGTAACCGTACATCACTGTACATCATTGTGGAATGTAAAGGCACAGACAGTACTGTAGTAATTAAGTACCACATAATTATTCGTGGCATCCTTTTTGTATTAATCAGTTTTGACATGAAACTGATAGCTGTCTGTTTAGCTCTACATTTTCTGATCCTTTTCTCTCTACAGAGCCAGAAAGGGTCCTCACTGTGGAGCCTTATTAAAGATCCATACATACTCATTGCTGCAGGTAAGAATTCATAATTTATTATTGTTAGTCATATTATTACTTCATTCTGAAGTACCCGCTGTGGCATTTCCCATTTCAGTCACACTAAGCGAAAAGCAACTAGGTGGGAGCAAAGATGTGGATGAAGAATTGACTGAGATGGTCGAACAAATTGTATTTCAGTGGTTGAATTTGTGCCCTGAGCTAGGAAAAGACAAACACTGTGCCTACCAATTGATTTCTGGGTTAAGAACAGTATTATTGCCAGAAAGAGTGTTGAGAGGGAGCGAGCACTGCATGTTAGAAGGGGTCATCTCCGCATCAGAATAGACTGTGTATGTGTGTGGGTGCGTGCGTGCGTGCACACTTGCTTGTGTGTGTTGGAGTATGTGTAATGCTGAAGTGCTGGGGGAAACAGCATATATGTGTCAGTGAGCCTCCCCACCACTTCAATTACCAGGCCCTTTGGCCAGGGTGGCCTAATACTTGTTATTATATTTCTGAGGGGGAGGGCGGGGGCTGACGGGGACACACAAAATGTGTAAAGATGGAGAATAATGGGCCCAGGGTCCACTTATCCTCCATTACATTCTCTTTTCCAGGATCCATTTGTTTTGCAAACATGGCCATCGCCATGTTAGAACCAGCGTTGCCTATTTGGATGATGGAGACCATGTGTCCAAGAAAATGGCAGCTAGGTATTTTGACATTTCTTTTCCTTTTTGTCCCTCTTGACAACCCTGTTTCCCCTATTGAGAATGCTGCCCATGAAACCATTCTGCTTGCTGAATGTACTTAGAATAATGGTCTTCATTTCAACTCAAGGTTTGAAAACACAGCAAAAAGAAACGGCATAGCACAATAATAACTTGATTATGACACTGTGGATTCTAACTGTGGACTTACAATAACTTCATACAGTATCTAGATGATCATTGAAAATGATCAGTAGTGTTCTCCACCTCATTGAACCTCCCGTTGTGGTGAAACGGGGGGGGCGGGGGGGGGGGGACAGGATATTAGGGTTTCATTTGCGGGCGAGTGGAGAGTGGGAGTGTTCATTACTGTGTCTAGGAGATATGCTGGAGATGATAGAGACGGATAATGTGCATTCTTATCTGGGCCCCTCTCTCTACCCTGCTCTCTCTCTCAATCTTGCTCTCTCTCTCTCTCTCTCTCCCTACTCTGCTCTATCTCTCTCTACCCTGCTCTCTCGCTCTCAACTGATCTCTGTCTCTCCTCTCTCCCGCTCCATATCTATCCCTGTCTCTGTCTCTCTCTCCCTCTCTATCTTTCTCTCTGCCAGGCGTTGCCTTCGTGCCAGCCAGCATCTCCTACCTTATTGGAACCAACATATTTGGCGTCCTCGCGCACAAGATGGGGAGGTAGGGAGGGAAATGACTCCCCTTTTTTCCGTCTCCTTATCTTTTCCTGCGTTGGTATCTGTTTCCTGTGCTATTGAGCAACTCTAAATGAGATTTCTCAGACAGGTTGGGTATTTGCTGTTTATTGAAGTCTCAGTGTGACAGTGTGTTTATAACTGCTTGGCTAACGTTTGTTTGTTTACCACAGTTGATCAAGTGTGTGCTCAGTCACATATAAATCTTTAGATTTTTACCTCACACTTTATGACAATACATGTGTTTCAGGGCTCAAATATTGCCTGTAGTTATAGCAGTATTCTTTTATAAAGTTTAAAAAAAGCTAAAATGTGTTTCTCAAAATGTCCTAATCCTCACTCAAAGAGAACATTTGCTTCCTCTGTTCGTTTATTTGAAGTTTATTATTCGAATAAATCGGATTTTGTGGCCTTGCGGTACAGAACAACTGTGAAGGGAGGGGAGAGGGAGATTGACTGTTGTCATTGGCAGACCCAGAACTGCTCTTCCCTTTTTTCCCAGATGGCTGTGCTCTCTAATCGGGATGGTCCTTGTGGGGGTTAGCATCCTCTGTGTGAGTACTAGACACATCTTTATCCAGCTCAACATAATGCTAACCTTACTGTACCTGTTTGGCCTGGTGGCATCATCAGTATCAGGGGGTCCATCTAAAGACATTGGATAACACTATTGGCTATACAGTGCCTTCGGAAAGTATTCAGACCCCTTCACTTTTTCCACATTTTGTTACGTTACAGCCTTATTCTAAAATGGATTAAATAAAAACAAATCCTCATCAATCTACACACAATACCCCATAATGACCAAGCAAAAACAGGTTTTTTGAAATATTTGCAAATTAAAAGAAATATAGAAGAAATTTAAAAAATACCTTATTTACATAAGTATTCAGACCCTTTGCTATGAGACTCAAAATTGAGCTCAGGTTCATCCTGTTTCCATTGATCATCCCTGAGATGTTTCTACAACTTGATTGGAGTCCAACTGTGGTAAATTCAATTGATTGGACATGATTTGGAAAGGCACACACCTGTCTATATAAGGTCCCACAGTTGACAGTGCATGTCAGAGCAAAAACCAAGCGATGAGGTCGAAGGAATTGTCCGTAGAGCTCTGAGACAGGATTGTGTCGAGGCACAGATCTGGGGAAGGGTACCAAAAGATTTCTACAGCATTGAAGGTCCCCAAGAACACAGTGGCCTCCATCATTCTTAAATGGAAGAAGTTTGGAACCACCAAGACTCTTCCTAAAGCTGGCCGCCCGGCCAAACTGAGCAATCGGGGGAGAAGGGCCTTGGTCAGGGAGGTGACCAAGAACCCGATGGTCACTCTGACAGAGCTCTAGAGTTCCTCTGTGGAGATGGGAGAAACTTCCAGAAGTACAACTCTCTCTTCAGCACTCCACCAATCAGGCCTTTGTGGTAGAGTGGCCAGACGGAAGCCACTCCTCAGTAAAAGGCACATGACAGCCCGCTTGGAGTTTGCCAAAAGGCACCTAAAGACTCTCAGACCATGAGAAACAAGATTCTCTGGTCTGATGAAACCAAGATTGAACTCTTTGGCCTGAATGCCAAGCGTCACGTCTGGAGGAAACCTGGCACCATCCATACGGTGAAGCATAGTGGTTAAAGCATCATGCTGTGGGGATGTTTTTCAGCGGCAGGGACTGGGAGACTAGTCAGGATCAAGGGAAAGATGAACGGAGCAAAGTACAGAGAGATCCTTGTTGAAAACCTGCTCCTGGGTGCTCAGGACCTCAGACTAGGGCTAAGGTTTACCTTCCAACAGGACAACGACCCTAAGCACACAGCCAAGACAACGCAGGAGTTGCTTCGGGACAAGTCTCTGAATGTCCTTGAGGAGCCCAGCCAGAGCCCGGACTTGAACCCGATCGAACATCTCTGGAGAGACCTGTAAATAGCTGTGCAGCAATGCTCCCCATCCAACCTGACAGAGCTTGAGAGGATCTGCAGAGAAGCATGGGAGAAACTCCCCAAATACAGGTGTGCCAAGCTTGTAGCGTCATACCCAAGCAGACTCAACGCTGTAATCGCTGCCAAAGTTGCTTCAACAAAGTACTGAGTAAAGGGTCTGAATACTTATGTAAATGTCATATTTAAATGTTTTATTTTTAATAAATTAGCAAAGATTTATACAAACCTGTTTTTGCTTTGTAATTATGGGGTATTGTGTGTAGATTGATGAGGGGGAAAAACGATTTAATCAATTTTAGAATAAGGCTTTAACATATCAAAATGTGGAAAAAGTAAAGGCAGTGTAAATACAAAAGTATGTGGACACCCCTTCAAATTAGTGGATTTGGCTATTTCAGCCACACTCGTTTCTGACAGGTGTAAAACATCGAGCACAAAACCATGCAATCTCCACAGACAATAATTTGCAGTAGAATGGCCTTACTGAAGAGCTCAGTGACTTTCAACGTGGCACCGTCATAGGATGCCACCTTTCCAACAAGTCAGTTCGTCAAATTTCTGCCCTGCTAGAGCTGCCCCGGTCAACTGTAAGTGCTGTTATTGTGAAGTGGAAATGTCTAGGAGCAACAACAGCTCAGCCGCGAAGTGGTAAGTCACACAAGCTCACAGACCGGGACCGCCGAGTGCTGAAGGATGTAGCGCGTAAAAATAATCTGTCCTCTATTGCAACACTCACTACCGAGTGTAGCAAAATCAGCACAATAACTGTTCGTCGGGAGCTTCATGAAATGGGTTTCCATGGCCGAGCAGCCGCACACACGCCTAAGATCACCAATGCGCAATGCCAAGCGTCTGCTGGAGTCGTGTAAAGCCTGCCGCCATTGGACTCTGAAGCAGTGGAAACGCGTTCTCTGGAGTGATGAATCGCACTTCACCATCTGGCAGTCCGACAGACGAATCTGGGTTTGGCGGATGCCAGGAGAACGCTACCTGCGCCTATGCACAGTGCCAACTGTAAAGTTTGGTGGAGGAGGAATAATGGTTGGGGGCTGTTTTTCATGGTTCAGGCTAAGCCCCTTAGTTCCAGTGAAGGGAAATCTTAACGCTACAGCAAACAATGACATTCTAGACGATTCTGTGCTTCCAACTTTGTGGCAACAGTTTGGGGAAGGCCCTTTCCTGTTTCAGCATGACAATGCCCCCGTGCACAAAGCGAGGTCCCTACAGAAATGGTTTGTCGAGATCGGTGTGGAAGAACTTGACTGGCCTGCACAGAGCCCTGCCCTCAACCCCATCAAACACCTTTGGAATGAATTAGAACACCGACTGCGAGCCAGGCCTAATCACCCAACATCAGTGCCCTACCTCACTAATACTATTGTGGCTGAATGGAAGGAAGTCCCCGTAGCAATGTTACAACATCTAATGGAAAGCTTTCCCAGAAGAGTGGAGGCTTTTATAGCAACAAAGGGGGGACCAACTCCATTTTAATGCCCATGATTTTGGAATGAGATGTTGGACGAGAAAGTGTCCACATACTTTTGGTCATGTAGTGTAGGTGAAAGCTAGGGTTTTACCAACCCAGTCATGTCAGATCAGGGGTTACATACAAGAAGGGAGGGAGTAAGGATGCAATTTCAAAGTATTGGAACAGGCCTATTGTCTTAATGTATCTCATTAGTCTCCAAATCACATTTTGAGTCTACAAAGGGAAGGGGAGGTCAATCAGAAGTCAACTCGAAAGCCAGTCAGAAAACAGAGAATTCTCTGGACACAGATAATTACATTTTCATTGTAGTTCCTTATGCAATTGTGTTGTGTGTGCAAGAACAAATGTAGTGTGAGAACAAAGATCCTCAAGTCCTTAGACCACATAAAGATGGTATTCTGGATTACTCTATAAACATTTGATCAATACAAATCCTATTACACTCTTTACCTTGACTATGTCGTGTCATAGGTTCCTTTTGCTAAGGACATCTATGGACTGATACTCCCGAATTTCGGTGTTGGTTTTGCAATTGGTAAGTCAATTTGTATTGCATTGTATAGAGAAACTAGTGGTCGCTTGTAACGCCAAGGTAGTGGGTTCGATCCCCGGGATCACCCATACACAAAAAATGTATGCACGCATGACTGTAAGTCGCTTTGGATAAAAGCGTCTGCTAAATGGCATATTATTTGTTATTTAAACTACAACTTATGAAATTAGCATCTGGTTTGTAACTGTTAATACTGAATTTCTCAATGTCTTGTCTCTTGTCAGGCATGGTGGATTCCTCTATGATGCCAATCATGGGCTATTTGGTGGACCTGAGACATGTGTCAGTCTATGGCACTGTGTACGCCATTGCTGATGTGGCTTTCTGCATGGGCTTCGCTTTAGGTAAATTACCGTCAGATGCTTGAAAATAACCCAGTCCCATAGCATAGTTTTAAAACATTTCTATCACACATTCTTATGTATGTTTTTTGAGGTGTGGCATAGTAAGAGTAGCATCATGATATGTCAGTTTGGGGGAAATAAGGCCTCTATATCTGACTCCTCTATAAGCTCACTAACCTTCCTTTGCTGATGAAGGTCCGTCCGCTGGAGGCGCCATAGCGAAGAGCATTGGGTTCCCCTGGCTCATGACCATCATCGGCATCGTGGATATCCTCTTTGCTCCCCTCTGCTACTTCCTCAGGAGTCCTCCTGGGAGGGAAGAGAAAATGGTTAGACACCTAACACCTCGTACACACATAAGCACCTACACACACTAACACACACTTCACGGAGGTATGCATTTGTATACTGAATACTTGTAAAGCTGCATCTGATGCAGAGAGAACTATCCATTGCCATCCCCACAGGCTCAAACTATTGCTGTCTTTTATAGGCAATACTACCAGGTGAAACAGAGAGAGAGGAACTCGAGTTACACTTTGATCATGAGACACACTTTGATTTGGCTGTCTATTTAAGTTGACCAGTTCAGGTCTCATCATTGCTGTGTAATGCATTCTACTGCTTTTGGCCACCCCCACCCCAGTTTCCACCTGCTTTTGGTTCCCCAGACTAAATTGATTTAGAGTATGAGTAAGCTATGTATGGGTAGGTAGAAGAGGATGGCTTATTTGTGCACATGGGGAGGGATAGGTGGATAGATTGTGCACATGGTGGCTGGTGGCACCTTAATTGGGGAGGACGGGCTCATAGTAATGACTGGAATGGAATAAATGGAATGGTATCAAACACATGGTTTCCATGATACCGCTCCATTCACTCCATTCCATACATTATTATGAGCCATCCTCCCCTCACCAACCTCCTGTGGTGGAGGGATTGGTGGATAGATTGTGTGTATGTTTACGGTTTGCTGTATCAGACACACCTCATACATAAACGGATAGCAGGGTATTCAGCTTGATTGAAGTGTTTGAACTACATAAAGTTTATACCCCCTTTTGAACATGTTGGGGGTAGATGGTGGTGGTGAATGTTGGTGAGTCTAAAGGTAACTGCCAAAATAAAGGAAACAATTAAGTAAATGAAGGATACAAAATATTGAAAGCAGGTGCTTCCACACAGGTGTGGTTCCTAAAATAATTAAGCAATTAATATCCCATCATGCTTAGGATCATGTATAAAAATGCCCAGTTGCCCATTATTGTAGCTACCATGGCTAGAATAAGAGATCTCAGTGACATTGAAAGAGGGGTTTCAAAGGAGCATAGGGGGTTTAAAGGGTGTGTGTGTCTCAGTCACCAGATCTCAACCCAATTGAACACTTATGGGAGATTCTGGAGACAGCTTTTTCCACCACCACCATCAAAAGATAATTGTGTAGCATCCCTAAAATAGACAATGCCAAGGCGCATTGAAGCTGTTTTGGCGGCTCGTGGTGGCCCTACGCCCTATTAAGACAGTTTATCTTGGTGTTTCCTTTATTTTGGCAGTTACCTGTACATAGGTAGAAATGCTTTTATAAATTGCACCTGAGTATGTCTGCAACTAAATATTGGGTCAAAGGATCAAAGAATTACAGTGCATTCGGAAAGTATTCAGACCCCTTCACATTTTCCACATTTTGTTACGTTACAGCCTTATTCTAAAATGGATCAAAATAAATAAAAATAAACTCATCAATCTACACACAATACCCCATAATTACAATGCAAAAACGTTTTTTGAAATTTTTGCAAAATTATTACAAATAAAAAACAGAAATACCTTTGCTATGAGACTTGAAATTGAGCTCAGGTGCATCCTGTATCCATTGATCATCCCTGAGATGTTTCTACAACTTGATTGGAGTCCAACTGTGGTAAATTCAATTGATTGGACATGATTTGGAAAGGCACACACCTGTCTATATAAGGTCCCACAGTTGACAGTGCATGTCAGAGCAAAAACCAAGCGATGAGGTCGAAGGAATTGTCCGTAGAGCGCCGAGACAGGATTGCGTTGAGGCACAGATCTGGAGAAGGGTACCAAAAGATTTCTGCAGCATTGAAGGTCCCCAAGAACACAGTGGCCTCCATCATTCTTAAATGGAAGAAGTTTGGAACCACCAAGACTCTTCCTAGAGCTGGCCGCCCGGTCAAACTGAGCAATCAGGGGAGAAGGGCCTTGCTCAGGGAGGTGACCAAGAACCCGATGGTCACTGTGACAGAGCTCCAGAGTTCCTCTGTGGAGATGGGAGAAACTTCCAGAAGGACAACCATCTCTGCAGCACTCCACCAATCAGGCCTTTATGGTAGAGTGGTCAGACAGAAGCCACTCCTCAGTAAAAGGCACATGACAGCCCGCTTGGAGTTTGCCAAAAGGCACCTAAAGGACTCTCAGACCATGAGAAACAAGATTCTCTGGTCTGATTAAACCAAGATTGAACTGTTTGGCATTCTGCAGCGATATGCCATCTCATCTGGTTTGGGCTTAGTGGGACTATCATTTGTTTTTCAACAGGACAATGACCCAACACACCTCCAGGCTGTGTAATGGCTATTTTACCAAGAAGGAGAGTGATGGAGTGCTGCATCAGATGACCTGGCTTCCACAATCCCCCAACCTCAACCCAATTGAGATGGTTTGGGATGAGTTGGACGGCAGAGTGAAGGAAAAGCATCCAACAAGTGCTCAGCATATGTGAGAACTCCTTCAAGACTTTTGGAAAAGCATTCCAGGTGAAGCTGGTTGAGAGAATGCCAAGAGTGTGCAAAGCTGTCATCAAGGCAAAGGGTGAAGAATCTCAAATGTAAAATATATTTTGATTTGTTTAACACTTTTTTGGTTACTACATGATTCCATATGTGTTATTTCATAGTGTTGATGTCTTCACTATTATTCTACAATGTAAACAATAGTAAAAATAAAGAAAAACCCTAGAATGAGTAGGTGTGTCCAAACTTTTGACTGGTAGTGTATGTAAATGTGATATTACGGTTTTTTATTTTAATACATTTGCAAACATTTCTAAACCTGTTTTTGCTTTGACATTATGGGGTATTGTGTGTAGATTGATGAGGGGGAAAAAACAATTTAATCCATTTTAGAATAAGGCTGTAACGTAAACAAAATTTGGAAAAATGTGAGGCATACTGATGAATTTGCCTTGGTAGTTGTCTTCCATCAAAGCTACATGACTGTATACAATGTAACCACAGTACAAAGCTCTTTGTGTTCAATCAATAGCAATCTTTTGTCTCTGAAACTAACAAATTATTGGTGGCTATTTTATGCTCTTTTAGTACTTTTTGGTTGTATTCTGACTCTAGACAATTGTAATCTTCTCAGGCCATCTTGATGGACTCTAACTGCTCGATGAAGACCCGATCATACTCAACACAGGGGAACACAGAGTACGAAGAGATGGAGACAGAGTACGATGAGTATTAATGGACACCAGACATGTATGTTACCTTCCAGAGGATCTATTTTGTTGTACAAAAAGAGAGATACAATTATTATTATTTTTTAACAGCACAGCTGTTTCGATGTGAATGTCCCGTGTGCGGTCAGTCTTCACTGTTCTGTGTCATTGTTACTGTACGACTAGAGCAAACCAAAGTTGTTGTCATTGCCCTGTGTTTATTATGAGCTAACAGCCTTATTCAATGGAAGTGGGTCCGTGTCGTCAAAACAGGGTTTTCATGGGCCGTAATAGCAGACTACTGTGAGTCATATTTACTGAGTAGTTCAGATGAGGGTGATGTTATAGATCACCAAATTCTGTACTGTAGGTCGGCAAGGAGTACAAACCTGTCCTAATAATTCACCTATTGGCCATTAACAGTACGAACAAAGAAATATGTACTTAGAGAGTTATTTCTATCTGTGTAGAAACTGACCTAGGGTCAAATTCAACATCTCGAACAAGGCACTATGAGAACACTGCTTAGTGTTGGTCTTTCTATTGGTTGAGTGTAATTGTATCATGATGAGAGATGGTAAATTATTTAGATATATAGTATAACATAGGCTATTACAGAGATACAAGTTACTCCATACATTTGGAATGAGAATTTTGTAACTGCTTTTAACAAGGCAAACCACATTTTACCTTGAAATGTGCCTTTTTCATTGATTCTACAAACATGTTTTTACATTGAGATTGATTTTTAAATTGAGGAAATACCTGAACTGAAAGGACATAACCCAGAAGCTGGTATAGCCAATGCTTTCCTGGGTTGACTGCTTATGACTGTGCTTGTAACTATTTGCATGGTATACCACATAAAAGAAACACACCATCACTCCAATGCCATCCTCAGTTTCACCGTCCAGATCTAAAAAAATAAAAGTTAATAAAATAAAATACTGTCACTGTAAATAATACCACAGCTCATAGAAAACGTCTTGCTTTTTTAAAGTGTACATACATTTTGGTAAGCCATTTGAATGTGTGGAAAACGAAGACTCATATCTGAAGACTCAACGTTTAGGTAGAAGATGTGTAACTATGATAATTAACTTTCCCTATTGACATTACAAGCCATACAAATATATACTGTGGTGAAAAGTAAACATATGGATACAGGTTTACTTTGATGTCTCTGAATAAACAGCACCTTAAGGAGATGGGAAATTCCATAAGCACTTTACCAGAGTCTAGTTACTCACACCATTTAACTCCAAGGACAGTTCTAGTATGTTGATGTTGGTTTAGCAGAGAGAGAATTGAAGTGATGAGCCTGATATGTTTTGTCATTTTGTCTAATGTTAGCAACAAAACACTCAGTTTTATCAAAGATAAATTCACTCATTATTAATGTGTGTGGAGTGCACTGGACATCCCGGTAGTGTTAATCCCTAAAATGAGTAGAACCTCAATGTATTTTCAAACACTGAGGTTGAATTTTGGGTCACAATCTTGACCAGTTTGAATCTTAGTTAAACTAATCTCTTGAGAGCATTAACATTATTATTTGTGAACTTATTGATCACTTCCAGTAGGTCATCAAAAAAGTATACACACAATACATACAAAATGTTTCCAAGATGAAATAAGAGTTTCCTATATTGACCAGCATTAATGCGCATGCACATACATAGCCACTTCAGTCTGAGGATTTGATTGGCTGACTGGGCCCTGGCCTGCACATGTCATTAGATACTTTTGTGTGTAGTCAGTCACCAGTATTAACCCACAACACAGAGCCATGAAGTGTCCCTCCCGTTGCCCCACCCACTCTCCCCTCCTATTTGTCCTGAAGCGGAAAATGAAAGTATTGTCTCATCCACTATTCTGCTCTTTGTCAAGACCACTGTGATCTAACAGAAACAGCCAGGCATACAAAGCACTGCTAATAACTGTCAAATATATATGCGTTGTTTGGCAAAGTGAATTTATTAAAAACCATTATTTGGTTGTTCGAGCAAACCTGACATCTAGAAATCTGTGAAAATACTTTCATGCCCTTGCCACGGAAAAGCACAATGGCACATGTTCAAAATGTCAAATAAGACCGCATTTTTAGGTATATGAAGTGTTATTTGTAAAACTCTGGGTTTGCTGGATTGCAGATTTGGTTGAATGGACACCCCAATAGGTTTCATTGTATATAAATGTGGCAAGCGAAATTGTCTGTGGTGGAGTTGACAGAAATAGTTTCCTGATACCTTCCCTATTAGTTTCATTATTTGCTCTTAAATGTATATTTAAATTCCCCGCCCCCTTAATCTAAATACTCTTATGTCAAGATGGCTACCATTCTGAGAGATTGTTGTTATTTTGCAATAAATTGTTGGGTCATATAGGTTACATAATGGATTATACAGTGCCCTCCTGAATTATTGGCACCCTAGGTGAACAAAAAAGGCTGTGAAAATATGTCATTGTTGTTTATCAGCTTGATCTTACACTCCAAATATCCTATGAATCTAACCTTTGAGTTAAAATTGTTCAAAAATAATAATAATCGTCATCAATAAATTATTATTTTATTCAGAAACATGCATGTCACAATTATTGGCACCCCTAGAAATTCTTATGAACAAAATCTAATTTATGTATATTCCGATCTGAGTCTTCGGGAACTCTTAAGAGGTCATCCATGACCTACTGTTTCACTGGGGTATAAATATGAGGTGACAGGCTAAAATCCCTTAGTCATCCATCAACATGGGAAAGGCCAGAACACCCAAGTTAAATGAGACAAAAGGTTGTTGACCTTCACAAATCAGGCAATGGCTATAAAAAGATAGCTACATGCCTGAAAATACCCATCTCCACTATTAGGGCAATAATTAAGACATTTTAAACAACTGGAGCTGTGATGAACCTGCCTGAAAGAGGACTCAAGTGTATTTTGCCCCCACGCACAGTGAGAAGGATGGCTCAAGTGGCCATTTTTTCCCAAGGATCACAGTTGGAGAATTGCAGAAGTTGGTAACATCTTGGGGTCATCAAGTCTCCAAAACTACAATTAGAAACAAGTTATTTGGAAGGGTTGCCAGAAGAAAGCCTCTGCTGTCACCAAACCACAAACGTAAGCACCTGGAGTTTGCTAAATGTCATTGGAACTTTGATTGGAACCAGGTTCTATGGTCTGATGAGACGAAAATAGAGCTTTTTGGCAAAAAACACCAGAGGTGGGTTTGGTGTAAAAAGAGCCATGGTCATGCAGAAAATAACCTAATCACCACTGTGAAGTATGGTGGTGGATCTGTGATGTTGTGGGGCTGTTTTACTTCCAAAGGCCCTGGGAACCTTGTTAGGAAACATGGCATCATGGACTCACTCCAAGTACCAGGAGATTTTAGGCCAAAACCTGTCTGCCTTTGCCAGGAGGCTAAAACTGGGTCATCTTTGGATCTTCCAGCAGGACAACGAGCCAAAGCATACCTTCAAATCCACAAGAAAATGAATCAAGCTTTTGCAATGGCCATCCCAGTCCCCTGACCTAAACCCCATTGAAAACCTGTGGGGTGAGCTGAAGAGGAGTCCACAAGCGAGGACCAAGGACTCTGAAGGATCTGGAGGAATGGTCTCAAATCGCTTCCTGTGTTCTCCCACCTCATCAAACATTATAGGAGACGACTCAGAGCTGTTATCTTGGCAAAGGGAGGGTGCACAAATAACTAAATGCAGGGGTGCCAATAAATGTGATATGCATGTTTTGAATAAAATAATTGTCTTGATGATGTTTAAAAAAAAGTTTTTACTCAAAAGGTTAGATTCATATGATATTTTCAGTGTAAGATCAAGCTGATAAACAACAATTACATTTTTTCACAGCTTTTTTGTTCATATTTACCTAGGGTGCCAATAATTCAGAGATTCATATTTTTTGCCATTTGTTTATATTAGAAATCTATTGCACACATGCACAAACATATGTGTGTGTGCGCCCATGTTGGTGTTTGTGCCTTCTGACATGTATGTCATTGGTTTGTGTGTATATCAACTACTTACTAACTGGTACTCAAAAAAAATGTTGGCCTTTTTATATTCTGGACTGGTTGTTTACGTGTAAAGTGTGCAGATTGTGTAATATATGTTGTTAATATTCAGTGGGGATGGAAAACCCAAAAATAAATGTTGTATACTCTGAAAAAGTGTTTGTATGGAATATGTGAACATTGGATATCCTTTTTTTAAGCAGTAGATTCAACCAACCTAAGTTTGCTACATGTTTGATGGTATGATTGTTTTTGACTGAGGATAAATGCCTCCTATTCTTGATGTCTTTGAAGCAGTAGTGGGAGATGGTGGGGGACAAGGCTATGATGACAGGTGGGGATGTGTCACCAGTTTCCCATGTTTGAGACGACACACTGTAATCATCATGTCCGTCACCACTGGGCTCCAATTACTTACCAGATGCTCACCCAATGAGTTCCCATTCCACCAAGGAACTTTACAGTTACCACAAGACTGATGGCTGTCTTATCTTTCCCTGTGTCTACAGGACAGTGTGAAGAGAAAAACCATTAGACCAATGTAATTTTACACTAGGAAAATATTTAACAGGAGGAAATGCCTTATTCTGAAGGTACTGTAAGACTATGAGTTCAGTATTGTTTAATTAAAATAGTATTTAGAGTAGGAACACACAGGAAGTCAAGGGGCTTCAGGTGAGCTTGTTTATTGAGGCTATGTACAATAGCGCTTCATCACATGATCTATCTCTAGAACTGTGGACAACATCACTCTTAAAAATCTCAACTGCAGAAAGCCATAACACTATGTGTATCATGGGGAGAGACAGATCAGGAGCATATGAATGGGTTTAGAGAGCACAGATTTACAACAGCAGCAGCAGCAATGGAAGTAGCAAGACACAGACCAAAATTAGTTTTTGTTTACTCTCCTCATGAGCTCAATTTCAGCCCAGGTGCCCCCAAGTTACCTAACTGACCATTAAACTACGTCAGATACGGTTTGCTTTGGAGAGAAACAACAAGAAACTGAAAAGGAGAGATTGCAAATTGAAGAATCCCTTCCTGATTAT